TGCTGAGGAGAGCCTTGTGGCTGAAGGTTATACAAGGAGATATTCCAGTTGGAGGTACTGCTGAGATTTATGGGAGCTGTGCAAAGCCATGTGAACCTGTTTGGGTCTCTCTTGCATATTCTTGAATCCTAGCTTGGCTTAAAGTTTGGTAGGGTTTTTGTTTAACAATAACTGATTAAATCCATTTCATTAAAGTCCATTAAGAGTTATCAGAAACAACAACATATATTTTAACCTAATAACCCAACCTTATAGTCCTTTCTTTTCTGGTCAACAGGACCTGTCTGCTTTACCCAAGTACATTTTTTTCTGAGCAGGCAGGCCCCCCTGCACAAAACTATCTCTAGATTTCAGGGGGTATTAACCCTAGCATGCTGCATTCCTCTGCCCAAGCAGTTCTGAAGGGCTAATGTAAAAAAGTTCCATATGAGCTGAAACTATAGCTGACGTCCTGTTGTATTGCCCCCTCTATAAGGACCTATTTACCAGATTAAATACCCCAGAAATTCCAGCCTCTTTTATGTACAACTACTATTATTGGATTGGTATAATATGGTAGCCCTGAACGAAGCTAAGTTTTGCTACACTTGTCTTTAAAATTAAGCGGTCCTTGATCACCCACTGATGATTTTATCCATCAGTTGTAATACTGTATATTACTACATAATGTCCTGTCCTGTCCTGTTCTGTTTTATTTTAACGTTTAATTTTTGTCCTGGTCTGTGACCATAATAAAGATTGATAGAAACCTGGCCGTGTTGCTTCTTCTCACTTATAGATGTTAGGTCCTTTATTATTTTAACTTTTTCTTTTATCATCTACTAGGATAAATTTCACACACACACACACACACACACCCCACTGTGCTTCTTCTGGTCTACTACGCATTAAACTGAATTGGTAACTGCTTTTTGGATATTTGGCTCTGCTCTCTTTGTTCTTCAATTCACCAACAGCTTCCTTGGTTTCCTTTCAGTTTCCTTCTTTTTCAGTTTCCAGTGTTTCAAATCTGCCATAAAGGCATTTGGGGAGGAATGCCAAGTACACCTTCGTGTATTTTTCTTTTCACAGCCGTGTTTATCAGATTGCCAAGTTGTATCTTTTTATGCCCATTTGTGCTTGCTATGGATGCCCTCTAGCCATGACTGATGGAGCAGTAAAAGTAATTGAAGTAAGTCTTTAATGCAAAGGGGGAACTGCTGGACTAAGTGACTGTTTTTGTTATTTAAAACCCCCAGGTGTCCTTAGTAATATTTGTAAAAAATCTCTCTGTCCTATCTTTCTTTGTTATGCCAACAAATTGGGAAGTCACATTCATTTTGTACCTGTTGGATAATCATAGCTCTTTCCATCTACACCATCAAAACAATTCCCCTAAAGGACAGTTGGATTCTCCCCCGGCCCCCAATAATACTCTCCCAGGGTCTGGCTCCAATTCCAGATCATTTTACTTTGTAAGCCACCCAGAATCACTGAGAGTGAATTGGGCGGCCATATAAATTTCCTTAAGTAAGTATAAATAATGAATCATGTCCTGTCACTCCCAGAGCCCGTACAACTACATTGGGCCTATGAAATAAGCCCCAGTTGATGATGCAATTTAACAATAGATCCTGAAAATAGTCTTGACAGGGAAGAGGAGAACATTTGGCTGCTGAGTAGAAGAGCTGGTTGGACCACAGCATCCTTCAACTGCTGCCTATTTGTTGTTACTGTGGGTGGAGTCAGCAGAAGTGTAGTTATGCCCGCTGATGGCTGATTTGCTAAGGCCAGAAGTCAAAGGCCAGGCCGGTCTGAGCTCCAGTTGAATTTCTGCAGATAAAAGGTCCCCCAATTGTCAAGCCATCTTACAAGGGTCCCTTCCAGGCCTCCACCAGAGAGGTTTTATAGCCTGGGCTGCAGCTCCCTACTCCCAATTCATCTGGCATTCTTAATCCCGAAGAGCCACCCAGGAGAGCAACCCAGGGCACCCTGTCTCAAAAGGAAGCATTGAGGCCCCTCTGGGTCTTTTAATTGGAGGCCACTGGCTGAGTGGCTGCATGGGTTAATCCAGCCCAGAGTCTTGTGTGCTAGCAGATATTGATTCTGGCCTAGTTCCTTTCTGCTGTGTCCTATAGAGTACAAAGGCCTTGGTGACTGTGCTTGCTTTAGGCCATGACCCTTGAGACCTGTGGGAGTAGTATCTTTGGAGAAGCTCCCTTGCCCAACTTTGCCGCTCAGCGACTGTTGCCATGACCCCGTTTGGCAGCTGTCCTGCTGTGCCAGGGGTTCCTGACTGTCTTCAGTGCAAGAGATGCACAACGGTGCCTGATGGTGATGATGACCACCGTGTACTTGTATTCCTCTTGCTTGCGTCAACCCATCTCATATGGGAATTAAAGGCAGGGCTGACAGATACTTCATCTCTCCACCCATCTATATACAGTACCTGCCTTTTGTCTCTTGCTTGCAACTCCACCAGTCTTTAGGTATCCCAAAACCCCTGGAAGAAGCCTATGCTCATTTGACCTCAAGTGACCCCAAGACCTTCTGGATCTCTGGCCAATGGATGACGGAACGCAAAGGCGGCTCTGATGTCGGTAAGGGGGTGCAACGTGGGAGCCATACAGTTTAGCGAATAAGACTGTATTTGGGTAGGCGGACTTATTCAACAGCATTTGCATTTAAAGATGTTAGGCTATTTTTCTCACAGGGTACGCTGGGGAAAATTGGAAGAGGGAGTTGTGAAGGTCACCATAAATTCCTGAATGAAAGGCAGGATCAAAACCTAAGTAATCAATTAGTGGTCATCTTTTAGGGAAAAATTCCCAGCACAAAAATGTGGTTTTTTATTCCCAGGAGGTGGAACAGAAACTGTTGCACGGGAACTTCCAGATGGCTCCTACAGTCTGCATGGTTTCAAATGGTTCACATCAGCTGCTGATTCAGACATGACGCTGACATTGGCAAGGATCGTGGGCCCTGATGGGCAGATACAACAGGTCAACCCAAAGAATATGAAACAGTAGCTTGCAAGTAGTTGCGCGGTTACAAATGTCCGAATTCCAGCTCCGTTTATTTGGTCTCACGCCAGCAACTTTTGTGTGGCAGGGCTCCAGAGGCCTCTCTCTCTTCTACCTGAAAACATATGAGGATGGGAAGCTGAATGGCATAAAAATACAGAGGCTGAAAGAGAAGCTGGGCACAAGGGCGTTGCCAACTGCAGAGCTGTTGCTGGATGGAGCTCGAGCACATCTGGTAGGAACCACAGAGAAAAGTATTTCCTCCATTCAGTACATTGAGAGGAGCACAGAGACTAGCCTAGGAAAGGATTAAAGGTCGAAGCATTCACAACAGACAGATGTTCAGGCTCTGCGTGAACACTTCTGAGGAGGGGAAAAGCTACACAGGGGAAGATCCTCACCTCTAGTGTCTGGTGCGGCTTATTGGAAAAGATTAGGTTATTAACTAAATATTAGTTTTTAAAGTTGTTAAGAACCAACAATAAAAAGCTTGAGATTTGCAAGCAATGTCTCAAAAGTCTTAGGAACTAGGGGCAGGGAAAATAGTTCTCTTTTGTGCATCTATCAGCAAATTGTGATGGAGTATTTATCTTAATTGCTACAGTTGTTAGGGGCAGAGATGGGGCCAGGGGCGTCTGACAGTTATCAGCTGCCTTCAGAGTCAGACATCAGTGAAGAAGAACAGCTAGAGCCTGTTCCCAGTGTGTGTATGCGCAGAGCTGCCAGACGAAGGGAACATCTGAGGAAAAAGGGCCGACTTGGGAGTAAAGCCACAGATGGACGTTGAATGGCCCCTCCCCTAAAGAATAAAAGTGGAGCAAAAGGGGAGTGGGGCTTTGCAGGAGACAATTAATTCCTTCCGGCATGCTTGCCAAGTATTGCGGTGTCTGAAAGATATCGGCCTGGCCCCTCTCCAAGCCTGATAAAGGTTTGTAATTGGGAACTATCGTGAAAGACTGTTGGCCGGGACTTTGTTGGAGAGGAAATTCATTGTAAATCAAATAAAAGGGACTGATGGGGACGAGGACTCTTGGGGGAAGCCTAGGTCAGAACTGCAGTAAGAGTGTGTGTGTGTGTGTATAAATATATAAAAAAATTAAAATTAACAATTAGCTATACCATAGAGTGGCAGTGGGATCTTATATTCAGTAACCATGTCCACAATGGCAAGCCCCCGTACGGGTCCCTGGCCAACTGGCAGAGCCAGGTTTAAGACCCTTCTGGAAAGCTAAGAAGGTGGCGATAGCTGTCATCTTGAGGAGTATGATATTCCAGAAGCCAGGAAAAATATGGTTTTAGCATTCCACGTGGCTCCAAAATATTATTCTTTTGCTTGTTTTGGGAACTCGGCTTCATTATCCCTCTGCTCTACAAGACTTTGTGCACTTATAGATTTAGTTATTTAAACTGAATTTAATGTTTGTAGGATCAGTCTTTAGAATAAAACTCGCTTGCTTGCTTTCCTACAAGCTACTTGCTCTTCTCTTTCACAAATCCTGAAAATGGTATTTTTACTTTTGCAAATGTATGATTTAGTTTACTTGCATCTAGGTTTTTCAGGGGAACCAGATATGGTAGTCTGAAGCTATTTCTTTATGTTTGCAGATCTCTGCAGAAGGCATGGGGATGGCTTGTATTGCCAACACGTTGAACATCACTAGGATCTATAATACCATCTTTGCAGGTCATCATATGAGAAGGTGATTTTCAATCCACCCCCTGAGAAGTGGAAGCAACTAGGAAGGACTGGGCAAAATTAGAACCAATTCTGTTCTGTTCTGAAGGATAATTAGGCAAAGCTTAATTGGCATGATCAATTTGAAAATGTAGTTTGGAATCTCCTGACTTCCAAACTGCTACTTGAATACTCTTGTGGAGTTTTTTAACTTTTCATCTTTTAACTTTTCCAAATAAAAGTCTGCTTGTGGATCAGTTTTATTTATGCATATTACAGATGTGAGTGGATTTGGGACTTGACCATAAATTGGACTTCATTTATGTGTGGGATAATCATTTTCTTACAGAGAAGGGCTAGCTTTTATTTTTAAAACAATTCTTGTCCCTAAAGGCTATTATAAAGGCCATGGGAGATGTGACGTCACTTGAAAATGTTGGTCTTCAGGTCTTCAGTAAGACCTGAAGTAAAGGAATACTCAGGTGTATTAAGTATTTCAACATCTTCCCACATGTAATTGTGAACTTTGTTTTAAGCAAAAATAATATGCCAAGAAAAATACCCATTTTGTTCTCCAATATTGGCAGCATGTTCCTGAGTGGAGGGGTTGTTCCTGTAGTCTGTATGAAGAGAAATGGAAATAATTTTGCTACCTAGAAGTTGCATTGATAAAGAGGAAAAGTTCTTAGCATTTTTATTATATTAATGTTATACCCCTCCAGTGTATAACATTATATGTTGACTTCCAGTGTATAATATTATATACTGATTCCCCTGATGTTACGACTTAATTAAAGAATGAAATTAAATTCTGGGAAATAGCAGAAATACATTTTAAGTAGGAGCAAAGGCAACATTTAATCCCTGTGGCTGGCTTTGTTCCCATCCATAGAATTGTTGACCTGGCACGGGATTACGCCACCAAAAGGGAAGCCTTTGGAAAACCCCTTAAAGATCACCCTTTGCACATGCAAACTCTGGCACGAATGGAGGT